AAAACTGGGCAGCACCAGACTCGGACCAGGTGCACCCGTTCTGGCTTAAACGGCTAACGTGTTTGCGTTCGCGAATAGCAGCATTCTTGAATAAACTACTTGAAGAGGGACCATCTCCTTGGTAACGAAAGGAGTAGCACACTCAGTTTTGAAGGATGGGAACAGGGTTCATTGCGATGTTACTACAGGCCAATCACTTACCTTCTGATCACCTGACAATTTCTGATTTCGTTTATGTTAAGCAAAGCAATGTGGGAGCATTTCGAGACGAACAGCATCATATTTGGTGAACAAAATGAAAGGGACCTAAAGATAAGTTATTCTTGGACGTAGCGCTTCACAGGGATTGCAAAATGAGATAGATCAGCATGACTTTAGCCTGGATCGACTTCAGAAAGGCATTTGATCTAATACAGTATGGCTATAACCTGGAATGCCTGAAATTTAACAACTTTAATGATGTCCAAATGAGGTTCTTCGAAGCAGCGACGAAACACTGGCGTACAACATTGATATATAACAAGGTTTCCCTCGGATTAGGGAAGATCAAGCGAGGAATCTTCCAGGAAGACTCGATTTCGCCGCTTCTGTTTCGTCTAGCATTTAATTCGCTCAGTTACATTCTGAACACTATATCAAGAAAGGATATGAGTTGAAAGACGACAGTAGATTATCTCTCCTGCGCTACGTGGACGATATGAAGTTGTGTATGAGATCGGTAAAAGAGCTGGATAATGCGATCCAAAGTGCTCGAATCTTTTCGGAATTTATAAGTATGGAATTCGGTTCGGACGAATGTGCTATGGTCGAGAGTAATAAACGAAAGATGTTGAAAAGCGACCGAATGACTACACCGAATGCAAAATAAGCGCCTTGGAAGAAGGACAGAAGTAAAAATACTAGAAATACCTGGATGTGCTAGAACCTGATAATATGTTAGATGAAAAAATGAAATTAATGATAAAAATGGAATACGATAAGCTAATCCGCAGAATCGTGAAAAAAAAAACAAAATCTTGGACGTCAACCAGAATGCGATAATGATTGTATACTTGCCTACTTGTGCAGGAGGTATCATTAGATGGACTCAAACGGAAGGCCAGAACCGGAGAGGAAAATGCGAAAGTTCCTTAGACGGAAGAAATAGACGTCGTAGTGTCAAAGATATGCTGGAACATAGACCTCATCTTTACGGTAATATCTGATAACAGAAATGAACTATAAGTTGCTGACAGCTGCAAAGGCTAATGACCTGTGCATAATATAACAGCAAACAGCTGGAGATGCAAAAAATCAGCAGAAAAATGTAGAGGTCGCCCGGAATACAATAGCGGGAAGAATAAAGAACTTCATGGACAGTATCTTTTCTAACTCGTGGGAACTTAAGTGTTCTTCAGACTTTCAACTGACTATCGAAAACGGACTCCGTGGCAAAGCGAAATTTCTTTTAAAGGCCGGCCAAGAAAAAGCATGAAACTCCAGCTCATACAAAGCGAACATCCTGCCAACGCAGCCTGAAGCAAGGTACGGGATGTGTCAAGTGAGGGATGAGGGATGAAACAGTGATCGATATAATTTCCGGTTCGAAACGCTTACGAATGGAGGATACAAGGAAATGCGCAACAACGTCGCAAGGATAGTCCACTGGCATTTGTGCAAGCGAGCCCTACTAAATACTGACAGAGGCGGTGGGCGGGACTATGCAAATGAAATACTGTGGAAATTCGGAATACGAACCGAGAAAGATATATCGGCCCATCGTCCGGATATCGTGTTGGTAGACAAAACGAAAACGACGGTACAAATCATTGCTATAGCATGCCCGGCTGACGGCAACGTTGTTGTCGAAGGGAAAGAAATGATGCTGAAACATGAAGAATTGACGGTGG